AAATTCTACTACCAGTCCTTCATCACCTTACACGAAATAGGGTGAATACATCTCATCCCCATATTACATTCATAGTTGGATTATTAATATGTTGTAATTATATTTGCCATTGCAATTGACTTTTCATTTCAAAGAGAAATTGGCTGGAAGGAATTCTTAAAATGGTCTAATTGCGAACAGAAGAAGGATTGTAAATTTCTATAGATTCGATAAGCAAATCTGAGCTTGTCCCTTCAGATTTTATAATGTATAAGTGGAGCATGAGTGTAATAATTCGATATAGGCTCAAAATATAATCGTGTTATTTTAATTTGGATCTAATTAAAATAGGGCACTGAATCAGTCATCTATGAGTAGTATAGCGTATACATATTTATTTATTTATTTATTCGAATTGCAAATTCAAGTATCCCCTCTCATCTCGACAGACACTGAGCCAGAACTGGCCAAAAGAGTGTACATACCTTGGCCTGCCTGTGATCGCAATCCATTCCTGAATCTCTCGAAGATATTCGCGAAATTCTTCTGGCGATATGAATACGTAGTTGCCATTCTCCAGATCCGGCATCTCCTCTTGATCTTTGGTACCTTCTTTTGACATTGAAACTAAATAGGGATATTTTTAATGTGCACAAAAAGGCAGACAAGATACAATTAAATTAAGGTATATTTTCAGGTACAATTGACCAGATGACATCCGCCAAAATGATAAAATACATTAAAAAATGTGAATCTTTGCAGTATGCATCGGTAGGGCCTTGTAGAATATTGTTAGCTTAGTAGTCATGCATTTTGGTACTGTGAAATGGATCCTATTAAAAATGGACTGTATTTGCAAGTGGAAATATTACCAGGTATTATTATTATTAGTTGTAGGAAAGATGTCCTTTTTGAGTGAAGAATTGTCTGAAAATTAAACTTTTTACAAAAAGATGAGTGCCATTTAAATTCACCTATCCTTGACTCTTATAAAGTTTTTCTAACCTGGATGCCATATTCTCACTACCCATTCTGTACTTAGTAAATCATGAGTAAAATGGGCCTGATTTGTTTTAAACGTCAGCTTCCGAGATTCTGCTTTAGATCCCTTCGGGATTCAGGCGAGTCTTATATTAATTCAAACGTGATGTGCAGTCAGATATTTTAGAAATAAAACTGAGTGGAATTCAACTTATTTCCACTTCCTTAAGTGATTTCAATTTCCTACTGATATATTTCAATTAGTTATTGTAGTTTTACTTGTTGATGAGGGATATGGACGATTGGGCTCAGCTTGAAGTGCCTCTAGTGCTTCTTCAAAGGTACCACAGAATGAAAAGAACTTGCGAAAAATGTATGCAAGGCTAGAAAGACAAATTCTGTAGGATTCATGTTGTGATGTCGTGACGAAAGCCTTCATGTGATTAGGCTCTGAAAGTACTACTCTTTTTGGTGATGATATTCTCTTT